TATCTCTGTAGCCTCATATCTAGCCCATTATGTTACCGTTTTTCGGTTCTCAAAATGATTCTGTTCGCTCTGCGTTGTGACAAAGCCGTTTATGCTGGTGTTATCGTGATTTTGCTCATTATAAATTCATGATTTTTTCGTTATAATTTATCATCAGAAAATATCACCAACATCTCTTAGTTATTTAGATATTATTAAAGTTACTTGGTTGTACAACGTATTATCTCAATTTCTCAGTGATTGAAAAAGCTATAATTTCCCAATTTTCAAAAGGTTTTTTTTTTTGTCATAATCCTCTATTGTACTATGAAATATTACTTTATTTCCCAGTCACACAAAGTATGATCATGATTTTCAATCCCTCACTGATTTAAATTGTGTTTCCGTGCACAGCAGATAATGCAGGTATCGCGACCCTAATTGTTAGCTTATTAGATTAGTGTGTGCACCGTTTGTATGTGTGTGTAAGACGTCGCGTCCTATATACATATTTATAATAAAGAGCGAATACATGTTAAACGAGAATACAAATAAACGTGATAAGGCTTTGGAGAGCCGAAGCTCCCCTGAATAAGAGTATTGGTTAAACAGAAGAAATAGGTTGTAGGTAAAATAAAATTGGTGGATAGGTAAAACAGTGAAGATCCCGGCGATGGGGAGGAGTGCTTTTATACCCCAGGGGAAAAAGATCGAAAGTTTAATGAGAGTAGGATGGTCAAAGTTTGAACCAGGGACAGGGGTACTGCGTCATAATAACGCAGTTGGTCTCTATTTTAAAAAAAAAAAAAAACCATTAATCATTATTTTATATATTACGCGATACGGGAAAGTGGTGGGGAAAGCAGAACCGTAGTTTTGTTTTCTACTTGCCTCCTTGAATGTGCTTGACATGAACATAGACAATGCTTTTTTTAAAATTCCGCATCACACTTACCAGTTCAGGTCTGGAATCTCGAAGAACGCAGCTGTATTGCCTCGTTGCGTGGCACAGGTGCTGTGAGTGCTGTGGAGTTTGTGAAGCAGAACAGCGTGCTTGTTGGTTACTCAGACGGCGGTGTTTCATTCTTTTCACTGCACGGCGAAAAAAAGCTACTTCATCGATGGAATAATCATACAAGGTTACATTTATCACCTGCTATGCCTTGAGTGGCGCATTGTGCAGCTAATGATACTAAATTTATCATTGCGAAAAATTCTACTTCCTCCTCCCGACACTTCTCCACTTCCACATTACAACCTTCTAATCCTTTTCAGATGCCCAAAATTTATACTTTTTAAAAAAATTCTGCCTCTTCCCATCTCCTCTCTTCCTCCGTTCCATTCCCTCTTCTTCTTATCTCTGTACATTGTGACTGTCATACTGACGAGATTCAGTCGCGGTGTTGAGCTAAAACGTATGTGACTTCATGAACCGAAACTTCTTAACTCTCTTTTTCCCGAGCAATATTTCTGTCTCTTGCACTACATAGTTCGTTCTATTCTTGCCTTCTTTTCTACTTTTTTCTATTTTCACGCTACAATGATGCGATAATCAGATTAGTTAAGGAGGCACAAATTTTTAGTGGCATCAGTTGAAAATGTTAGACTGTATAAAATACAAATAAATTGTTCAAATTATTGAATTTTCGCAAAATTGCAAAAAAATTGGAATTTGCTCGATACACAAGTGAATCACGTCTTTTTAGTTAGGTAGTGTCGTTTTGGTAATTCGCGTAAACTTTGCTTTTTTGGTAAGACATTGTCTGTTTTAATGCGCAGTTCTAGTATTTCTTGATGTTTTGCAGTCAAATAGTGGGCATTTTTGTCAGCGCGATGCCGGAAGCTGTGTTCATAAGCCGCGATCAAACACTGTCAGTGGTGAACATCGACACTATGGAGAAGATTAAGGTGCTGCCGTTGTTTGAGCCCATTGAATCGGCCGTGGTCGTTCAGGGATCGCTATTTACCGTCGGCGAAGAAGGTGTCTTGAAGTGCTGGAATCTTCAAAACGCGAAGCTATTGAAATCGGCGAATATATCTACGTTAGTTTCTTTCAGATTTCGTTACTGCGTCTTACATGGTTTTTTTTGTTAAGATTACGAATTTATTAACTCACAAATTCAGCCATGGAATATAACGAATTGTTCTGTGAACGTTACAGCATAATTTTATTGCAAAGTCTGTAACGCAACATGTTTTTAGATGCCGCGTTGATACGGTGCTGTACAATGCGTCCCGCGGAAAGTTTCTTCTGGCAACCTCCGACTTCAATGTTTTTTTGGTGCACGAAGAAACTTTCAAAATTGAGCGCCAGTTCGTCGGTTTTAATGATCAAATCTTCGATATCTGCTACATTGGCACGGAGCATCAGTACCTGGTTGTGGCCACGAACAGTGCCGATCTGCGGCTGTACGATACAACCAACTGGTCTTGTCGTCTCATCACCGGTACATCCTTTTTTATGCGTTTTGTGCTGTGTAACAGCAGTAAAAAACGCATATTGTCACGGGGTTGTCTGTGTGTGTGTTTGTCCGCAGCAACTTGTCCGCGACTTTCAACTCGGGAACCACAAAAGCTAGGAAGCTGAATATTTAGGGGAACGTTCCCCACCCACGTGTGACCCCACAAATTTAAATTCAGCTTCTCCGTACCCACGGGTAACACGTACGGTCCCGTGAAAGTTTTTTACGGGTAAATTAATATCTCGGGAACCACGGAGT